AGAAAAAATTTTATTTAAAAATACTAAAATTAAAAATCTGATAAAATATGGACAAATATATTTATTTTTAATTTGCTAATTAATTATTTGAGCGAGTAGGTACTAAAATAGCACCAAGTAGGTATCAAAACCTATTATCTAGGTACTAAGGTGCACTAAAACGTATTATGTAGCCACCAAAGTGTATCAAAACACACTAAATAAGTAGCAAGAAGATCTTGAAAGGTAAAAAAAAAAAAAAAAACACTAAAATGGCACAAAAGTGCACTAAGAAGCACCAAAAGGACACTAAAACAAACTAAAAGGACACCAAATAAGTATCAAAATAAATAAAAAAAGACATTAAAATCGACCAAGAAACACGAATGATAAACAATGATTCGTTTCATTAAAAAATAGGAAAAAGAAAAAGACAAAGAAATTCACAAAAATTAGGTTTGATACATTTAATTGTTGTGTTGTTAAAATATCTTGCTCCTTCTTAAAATATATGTAAGATTCAAAACAAGATTTCCATTAAAAAATAATAATTTATTACTTTATCGCTTATCTGTTTAATTTACTTCTTGTTGTTATTGTTATTTGATTTAAATGAGCATTTAAAATTCATAAACCCCTTAACTTTACAGAGGGATAATGGTGACATTAGTTCACAAGAAGTTGATAAAGATTCAACTAAATCAATTAAAGGCCCTTATTTGAAAAAAAAAAGATTTTTCTTAAGTTATAATAAAAATTTGTATAAGCAAAAGGTTAAGATATATTTGAATTATTTTACTAAAAAGAAGTATGAAGAAAATATTCAATATTTCTACTTAAAAAGAAATGGCTCTTACATAGCTCATGTGTATATTTTGACGAGTTTTTATGAAAAAATGGTAGCTAAAGAAAATATTAATTTTTAATAAAAAAAATGATGTTCTTCGATAAGTTTATTGGTAAACTATAGCCAAGAAAAAGAATGTAGTTTTATTTGAAATAAAAAGATATTTTTTACTAGTTTTCATAAAAAGAAAAACTAGTGATATAGTTTCTAGTCAAAAAGTGAGTTACAAATAGATTTGTTTAAGTACACAAATGTCAAAAATTAATCGAAAAAATACATCATTGAAATCAGTTCCAACTACTTTTATATGGAAAATCTCAAGTACAAATGTTTTAAAGAGAATTAAATATTTGACTTGAAGATTTGGAGTATTAAGAGTGGTTACCTACAATTTCTAACAATTTCTAATCATTGAAGATTAAAACACGTAGTAAAGATTGTGAACAATATGGAAGGACAATTATGAGAAGACATTTTAGATAATTACGTTGGATAATAACATGTTTTAAGAAGTTATTGTGTTATAATTATAAATAAGATTTACTTTTATTATTTAAGGGTTACCACTTTTTCACACAAATACTCACACAAAAAATCTTTGAAAGCACCAAAGTTCTCCACTATTTGGACTCACCTACCAGGAGATCATTCCATGTGTTCTTTATTTGAAAGTTGTAGGTTATTTCTATATTTCAATTGCAATTACATTTGTTTTATTTCAATATGTATCACTTTCCTTTAATATTACACTAATTTTTCTTCTTATATTCATTATGTTTATTTTTGCCCTTTTACGATATTAAGTTAATAATTACATTAAGAATAAACTTTAACAGTCCATAAAAAAGTTCTAAAATTTAATTCTAAATTATTCTTAATTTTATTTATTTATTTACAAAAATTCATTGTAAACAGTACAAAAATTAATTATGAAGATCAAAAGAAAAGATAATCAATTGAGTCTAACATTCAAGTTAGTATTTTAGGGATTTACAATAAAAGAAAAGATTGCTAAGGTTAGAAAAGATTAGAGTTTTTAGAGCTTGTAAAAAAGGGAAATAGTTTTCAAGTTAAAAAATTAAGTTTTTTTATGGTTTGCAAGAAAAAAAATTTAGGGTTAGAAAAAAATAGATTTTAAGATTTACCCAAAAAAAATGATTTTTTAAAAAAATAAAGTTTTTTATGAACAAGCAGAGCATGGAAGAGAAATATATAAAGAAAAAATAAAGAACAAAATGAAACAAAAATAAAAACTTTTACTTGATTTGATAAATAAAGATAATTAAATTTACTTTTTGTGTTTATTTTTGTTGACCTTTTTATGATGGTTTAGAATTCTTTGATCAAATTTCTCTTTTTAAACCTTTAAACGTTTGTTATTTTTAATTGGCTTTAAAATGCGTGTTTTGAGAATTAAAGTATTTTAAGGATGTTTGTCTCTTTCTAGCTTTTTTCTATTTTTTTTTTCTTCTTTTTACTCTTTATTTCGGTACACTCTAAAATTTTCTTCTTCTTTTTCTTTGTTCCTGTTTTTTTTTTTAATTTTTCTCCCATTAAAAATATACTATTTCTTTATAACTTACATTCTCTAAATCCTAAATTCTATTTAATATATATATATTTTTTATTTTAATGAAAGATTCTAACATTTCACACTCTTTTATTTTTCAATGACCACCAAAAGATTTGACCTTTTTTATTTTTTTAAATTAATTTTTATGCACTAATTTATTATCTATTTTAAATTTAAAAATAAGAATTTAAATTTTAGAGTTTTGAATTAATTTTTATTTATTTTATCTTTTAAACTTATTTTTAAAAAAGACTCAAATAAAATTCTCTATAGACAATTAGTGTAACATCGATGCATGTCCCATACCCTAAAGTCACAAATTCCTAAGAAAAACTGTGTATCCTTAAAAAAGAGACGAAAGCCTCGGCAGTGGCGGAGAAAGTCTCCCTCTTATAAAAAGAATTGTCAACTAAGGGCAGAGAAATTGCATAGAAAACGAAAGATAAAAAGTTAAAGTTAATGTAATAAATATATGCGTTGTACAAAGGCATAGAATAAAGATGCATTAGTGGTTGCCGCACGCTTTGAAATTGAATATTATAGATATAAGTTTGACTAATTGTCAAAAAGGCCATAATGGATTCAGAACTTCACATCGATTCACTGCTTAGACTCCTTTTTTCACAAACATGATCGAACTCGTTGTTTAACTATTTCTTAATTCAATTCCATTGCATGCTTCACTCTAATTTTCTCAAGTATATGAGAAACATTATCTAAATGTATAGTGAAAAATGACAGTTGTAAACAAATAATCCAAAGATCAATCTGGAAACTAGATTTAGGTCATCTTTGGGTTCTTTTAAGTGTGTTGTTAACGTGATGCTCAAATTAACGGCGTAAAAGAGTATTAAGCAAGAATAGTGAATAATAAATGTGCAGAATTAAATCAAACGTAGATGCTTTTACAAAAATGTAACAAACAGGAAGCCAAGAGTGTACAAAGATACAAGCAACAAGTACTGAAATTAAAATGCAGAAAGGGAAATGCGGGAATATAAAGGTGCTGGAATGTAAATATGCTGAAATATAAACGTACGACTCCTCACAACGGCGAACAGCGGCCACCGTAGGTCTCCTTGTAGCTGGTGTCTGGCGCGGTGCAGGGTTTCAGCGTCTCAGAGTGTTTAGGTGCGGTGTCTGGGTGCAAAAAGTCGTCCCCTGTGAAATAATGCTTTGTAGTATTTATAGACATGAAGATCACCACCGTTTTCCTCCTTTTGCGGACACTTCTTAGTAACTGCCTTCAACTGTTGATGCTCACTATCCACGATTGCTTGTGATCGTGCTGTTTGTTGGGGCTGTAACCGCTATCGCCCATGATCTCCTTTGCGTAGTGGTGAATGTTGATAACTACTGGTAACCGCTTTTGGATTTTTCAATACTCCTATCTTTCGAGTATTTCTGAGAGAAACCTAGGAAACTCTTTTAATGTTATGACCTTGGAATAGTTTCTTCTTGACTTCTCTTTTCGAGCCATTCTGGAGTTTTGAGAGTCTGTCTTGGTCTTGTGGACTTAGAACATTTTCTTTGCTCATTTCTGTTTTTCGAGCAATTCTGGAGGAAATCTGGAGCTCAGCCAAGTTTGTGGACTTAGAATATTTTCTTACCACTTCCTGCTTTTCGAGCAGTTTTGGGTGTCAGGTACTTGGAAACTCATCAAATATTCCTCGAAAAGCCATCAGTTTTTTGTGGACTTAGAATATTTTCCTGTTAGTCCTGTTTTTCGAGCAGTTTTGGGTGTCAGGGACTTACGAACTCCTCAAAACTCCTCGAAAAACCATCAGTTTTGTGGACTTGGAATATTTTCTTGCCAGTTCTATTTTTTGAGTAGTTTTTGGTGTCAGTGACTTAAAAACTCCTCAAAACTTCTCAAAAAAAGCCTTTAGTTTTGTGGTCTTAGAATATTTTCTTGTCTTTCAAGCAGTTTAGAGAAAAATCAACAATGTGACAAAAATCTCTAAAAATAGCTCGAAATGTGTTCCTTTTAATTAAAACCAAAGATCTTCCAATATTCTTTTATGTTCAGGTTTATCTTTGGCTCCTTCTTGACCCTCAAAACTTGTTGAAATGTAGTTTCCTTCAAGATGATTTTTAACTTAGAAAATTTTCCTTATCCCAAACAGATGCCCCCAAAATATTAATATCTCAGGTAGATGAGATTTTAATATTTTTTATTTTAATTGGAAAATTTTCATTTTCTAATTTTCCCGCCATTTCTTATGGCGTCTCTGCCACTTACCTGCTTTATGTCAGGCACGTTGTCCAAAGTCGGCGCCATAAATGCAGGTACTGCTTGACAGTTACCGAAAATGTCCCATTATTGAGACTTGCTCCGTTCTGTTGGGGATTCAAGGCCATTTTTGATCGAAAAGACACCCCACTATCTTTTCATCTTCCCACTAAGTGCCAAAATACTCTGGACTTGGGCTCTTGTATGGGCCTTGCACGAGGTTGGGGACCAGTATAAAAAGCGAAGTTACCTTCTCATTTTTTACACTTTCGTTTTTACTCTCCTACTTAAGAGCTCTGTTCTCTCTCTTCTGCTTCTTTTTGTGTCGAAATTTCTTCTGGTTCGTCCTTTCCCTATTTCTCGTCGAAATGGCCTCCAAGTCTAAGGTTCCCTCTGCCTTCTCCAATGCTGAGCTCGTTCCTTTGGGTCATTCGAGCTACCTTCTTGAGCCACCTCTCGAGGAGGAGAAACTGGCTATTTGGAAATCCCAGGTACTCATTCCCTTTTCATTAGGCTCGAAACCTCATGCATTTTTAGGTCCTTTCGTTCCCCAGTCATCTGTCGAGTCTTCTTTTTCCGCTGATGGAGTCTTGGCATTCTCTTCCAAATATAACTTGGACTCTCTCGAGAATGCCCAAAAAATATTTAGAACTATGCCTCATCTAACCAAAGACTTATATTTGCCTTGGTTAGATAGAGTTGAGGGTGAAAAACAAGATAGTTGGAGGGCCCTAGGAATCTATGATATCATTCAATTGTCTAGGTACAATCTGTCTTACAACTTCCCTATGATCATGAGTTCTCTTTTCTTCTGGGATCGAGCAACTAGCTCTTTCCACGTGCCTTGTGGTATGATTACCCCAACTCTTTTCGATGTGGCTGCCATTCTTGGGCTTAGGCCAACTGGTCCTTCATTTCGACCAGATTCTCACCCCAAAAATCCTAATGTAACCCCCAACTTCCAAAAGCTTTCTTACCAACTCTTCATAACCTTGAATATGAATCGAGATGGTCCCGTTACTGATGAGGAGCATGTTGCTTTTCTGATGTTTTGGCTTTCCACATATGTTTTTTGCTCGAGATCGCTCCAAGTACCAAAGACACTGCTTACTTTGGCCCAATTACTGCATGAAGAGTCTTCAATATGCCTTAGGAAGCTTATTTTAGGGAATTTGTATGAGAATTTAAATGAGGCCGTAGCTTCATTTAAGTCTAATGACTTTCCTTCAGTCATTAATGGCCCCTTTTGGCTGCTTCAGCTCTGGCTGAATGCTATTTTTGAAGAAAAATTACAAAGCTCTGAACCACCCAATATTTCTCGAGAGATTGAAGGTTTTCGTCTGACTTTCTTGACTACTAACATAGCCAAAAAACACTATTGTAATGCTTTTCGACAATATTTCAATTTTTTCTTATCTCTTCAATCTTTCACTCCTCAACTTGCTCCTTTTTCTACTCGAAAGGTAGGGCCAGTATGGTTAAAACGTCCTTTTCCTTCGAGAACCCCAAGTGCCCAGTCTGAAGTTTTAATGACATGGAGACAGTTTCTTTCATGTCAACTTCTTTTTTGTAGTTTCACTCATAGGCCCTATCAAGTGGTTGCTTATCAACCAAATCTGGTAGCTCGACAATTTGGGTTAGGCCAGTTAAAACCTTCTTTCATGCTGGAGGGGTCAAATCTCGATATTCTTGAAAACGCTCGAAAGAGTATTGATGATTTGAATGAGGCTATTAGTTTCTTTCGAAAACGTAGGCCAGAAATTTCTCCTTTTGAGTTTGAGCCTATTTTCTACTGTACCAGCACTTTTCAAAGTTGGTGGTCTACTTATTATCATCACCCTGAGATATCTATCGAAGCGTGCAACCAGAAGATGACTTCTGCTTTTTCTCTATTTCAGAAGGGGGATCCAAAGGCCAAGACAAGAGGTACGCATATTCGAGAAATCCAATCTTTTGAACGATTTTTTAAAGTACTTTATTTACCACAAAGAATATCCCAAACTATTTTTGAAGCTGCTCTTTCCTTGAGAGAAAAAACAAAAGAAAGAGTAAATAGGTATAGGGATTTTCATCCTTTTGAGAAGTTTATAGAAGAAATCCTTTTTAAAAAATTTTGACCAACTTTTCCACCTTTGCCAAACTGTAACTTTGCTCTGGCTTTACCCATAATTTCACCTAAATGGGTCGATCTACCTTCGACTCTTTTGAACGAATTATCCCCTCCTCGAAGTAGAATAACAGCTTCGAGATTTTCTTTTAAAACTTATCCTTACCCTCTTCACCTTGATATTCAAGATGTGAGAATCCTTACAAAGTTTAAAGATGGTAAGATTTGCCCTGTTTTTTTCTCGAAATCCCTTTTTTTTTAATTATTATTATTATTATTAGATTTTAACATCTCGAGAAATTTTGCAGCTCTTCCAACAGAACCTTTTGTTGGTCGATATGACCAAGAGGATTGGGAAAAGGATGAGCCTCCTAAGAAAAAACAAAAATCTACTTGAAAAGGTTCTTCTTCGACAACCCTTAAAAAAGGTTCTTCGTCTACATCCCAAGCTGCCTCTGGGGTATCTAAGGTAACTATTTTGACTTGGGTTTAATTAATTCTCTACATGGGTTTAAATTGTAAGCCTGCTTCTTTTCTTTTCCTAGGCTAAGGCCATTCCCAAGACGAAGATTCCTACCAAGCCCCAAATTTCTATCGAGATGACTGCTTCAACTCCTGTGCAGCAGACACCTGATCAACCTTCAGCTCCATCAGTGGAGGTAAATTTTATCTTTTTGAGTACTATTCTATCTTTTCGAGCAATTTTTAATCCTTTTCTTTGTGGCAGGTTTCGACTGATGACACTCCAAGTGTCAATTCACCCCCTAGGGTCCGAAAAGACCCTAAAAAATGTTTGACTCCAATCCCTGAGGAGTCTCAAAAAATCTCGAGAAAAGAACCTACAGCTACTGTCCAACAAGGGAATGAGGCAGCTTCTTCCTCGAGTTCTGGATCTTCGAGCTCTTCTTCGGATACTTCTTCAAGTTCTTCTAGCTCGAGTTCTGAAGATCGAGCTCAAACAGAACCAGCTCCTGAGGTAAGGCATCCTTTTACTCGAAATTTGGTCTTCATACTTGTGAATTTTCTCACTTCTTTTTCTCTAGGTACCCCCTATATCTCGACAAACATCGCCCCGGGTTCTCCCGAGGTTGATGTTGTTACATATCAATCAGAAAAGGAGGGGCCCTTGCACGAAGTTGAGGAGAATGTAGCATAAGAGGGAAACCAAATTCCTGAAAATCTCCAAATTTCTGTCGAAGGTCCTCCCAACATTGAAGTTGTGCCACCATCATCATCCATTAACTCAGAAATGAACTTGGATGATTTTAATGCCATGGTGGAGGAAGATCCAGAGGGGGCCATCGACAAAATTTTGGCTGGTACCTTCACCTTTTCTTCTTCATCTCATACTCCTTCAGGGTCACACTCAGAAGTCTCCAAGCCTACTGAATCAACTGAAAAAATGCTCGAAGAGCTTAGGTCCTTGGTCTTTGATGCGCCAATGATGAAGAACCTTCCAACTGACAAGGACTTGGTTACCAAGATCAAAGACTTACTTTCTTCGTTGAAGGCTCAGCTCTCGACATTTCTTGAAGGGCTCCAACGTTTTGAGTCTCTTTTCATCGACTCTTTAGCAATTATAGACTAAACTGCTATGGTTGGTTCTAAACAAGATCAAGCTCGAGCTATGCAGGACTCTGCTTCTAATAAATTGAAAGAAGCTCAAACTGGGTTGGTCAAGCTAAAGGAATCGGCTACCAATGCCGATATGAAGCAAAAAGAGGTTGATGCTAGAATCGTTGATTTAGAGAAACAACTCGAAAGAGCTCAAAAGGAGTCAGAGATGCTGAAAAAAGCTAGTGCGGCTTATGAGAAGAAAAGAAAAAATTTTATAGAAAATGTGAAGACCTTGACTATCGAAAGAGCTCAAGCTATGGAGGATATTTCGAGTCTGGATGCACAATGTACGACTCTCGAAACCAGATATCAAAATTTGAGAGCCGTTTACACTGAAATGCGCTCGAAGCCTCCTTTTTAATTTTTTCATGTATTTTCCTTTGAATTCTAGTAGTTATTTTAATGTAAATACTCGAATTCTGCTTTAAATGATATTTATTCATTTGGCCTTTTTATTACTCGAATTATTTGCCTTGACTTATTTTTACTTCATGTATTTCTGGTTTGTATGGTTTTAAGTACTTACCGTTAATCGACATGATTCGACTATTAGTTCTAAGTTCTCGAATTGAATACGCGTTATTTGAAAACACATTTTCAATCTCAAAGGGGCCTTCCCAATTGGGTGACCATTTTCCAAGTTTCCTTGATTTTTTGTCGAACGGTAAAATTACTTTCCATACTAATTCACCAGCATTAAAAAACTTGCCTCGTACTTTTCTGTTGTATGACCTCGTAATTCTTTCTTTTTGTCGAATTATTTTCTCTAAGGCACTTAAGCGAATTTCATCCAGAACATTCAATTCATCAAACATTAAGGCTCAATAATCTTCACTTGGTAACTCGAATTGCCGCTGTAATCTAACTGATTGTAGATTTACTTCAACAGGTAAAACGGCTTTATGGCCATAAACAAGTCGAAATGGGGTTGTCCCCGTGGCCTCATTTGGAGAATTCCTATATGCCCATAATACTTGGCTTAAAGTGTCATGCCAATTTCTTGGTTTTGATCCAATGTGTTTTTTAATTAACTTGATCAAAATTTTATTTACTGCCTCCACTTGTCCATTGGCCTGGGCATAATATGGGGTCGAAGTTATCATTTTTACATTCAAGGACTCAGCATATTGAGTTACTTTTCGACCTACAAAAACAATTCCTTGGTCCGTTGTCAAAGTTTCTGGTATACCAAATCGATGAATTATATATTCGTCGATAAAATTAACAACATCACTCTGAGTAACTTCTTTCAATGGAACTGCCTCAGCCCACTTCGTAAAATAGTCGACAGCTACAATGATATATTTATGGCCTTTTGTCGAAGGAGGATGAATTTGGCCAATTAAATCCAGAGCCCAGCCTCGAAAAGGCCATGGCTTAATTATTGAATGTAATTCTGAAGCTGGAACGTGTTGAATATTACCATGCTTTTGACATTCTTCACAAGATTTTGCGTAGTCAAAGCAATCTTTAATCATCGAGGGCCAGTACAATCCTTCTCGAAGTAACATCCATTTCATTCTTTCTCCAGCTTGATGAGCTCCGCAGATCCCTTCATGGATTTCTGCCAGGGCAATATAAGCCTCATGTTCGCTAAGACATCGAAGTAAAGTGCCATCAACACCCCTTTTATACAATTCGTCAACCACAATTGTATAGTTAACTGCTCGAAATTTTGTTTTTCGATCAGTTGGAATATTGGGGTCCTTGAGATAATTGACTAAAGGTTTTCTCCAATCTTGGTCAGTTAAGTCATTTATGTTTAAGATCTCAAGGTTTGTTGACCCTAACTTCTCCCTTATCTCTGTTAATTTTGCCAGGTTTTCACTCAAAATTCTATATTTCGAGGCAATTTGGGCTAATTCATTGGCCTCTTGATTTTTGTTTCGAGGAATATGTTCTAGAATGACTTCGTCAAATTTTTGTAATAACTTATTCACTTTTACCCAATATTCGACGAGGTTTCTACTTAAACATTTATATTCTTTGGTTAGCTGCTTTATTACTAACTCAGAGTCTCCTCGAATGATTACATTTCTTGCCTCAAAATTTAACAGTATTTCAAGTCCAGCTAACAATGCTTCGTACTCAGCTTCATTGTTTAAACAAGCTGATTTTATCTCGAAGAGTAATTTCGTTGGGATTTCGTCTGGTGAAATTATCAGTATTCCGATTCCAATTCCATTTCTATGACTAGATCCATCGAAGTACAATTTCCATGATTTTAGACTTATAAAATCTACTTCTTTGATTGGAATCGAATGATCAACAACGAAATCAGCAACAACTTGGCCTTTTACAGATTTTAGTGGTTTATAAATTAGAGAATACTTTGTTAAAGCCAACGCCCATTTTCCAACTCTACCATGAAGGATAGGTTTCGACAAGAAATATTTTATTATATCGTGATGTGAATAAACATGTACATCAAAAGGCCTAATATAATATTTTAATTTCTCACAAGAAAAATATAGACACAAACATAATTTCTCGATTGGACTATATCGAGATTCTGCACCTATCAACATTCGACTAAGATAATAAATAGCTCTTTCGACACCATTTTCATCTTCTTGAGCTAGCATGCTCCCAATAGTTTCTTCTGATGTCGAGATATATAACTTCAAGGGAAAACCTTTCTTTGGCGGAACCATTACTGGTGGTTTTGTCAGATATTGCTTTATCTCCTCGAAAACAGCTTGATGCTCTACCTCCCATCGAAACTCTTCTTCTTTCTTTAACTTCAATAGGGGTGAGAAGATTTTAACCTTGCCAAAAAGGTTGGAAATGAATCTTCGTAGAAAATTTATTTTCCCTAGCAACGATTGCAGTTGTTTTTTAGTCGAAGGGGCTTGTGTCTCAGATATTGCTTTGGCCTTATTCTTGTCGATTTCAATTCCTTTTTGGTGAACAATAAATCCAAGGAACTGTCCTGCAATAACACCAAAAGCACACTTTAGAGGATTCATCTTCAAGCCATATTTTCGTATTCTTTCAAATGCTTGTCGAAGATGACCAACATGGTCACTTTTATACTTAGATTTCACGACAATATCATCAATATAAACTTCCAAAAATTTGCCTATTATGTCATGAAAAATAGTGTTCATTGCCCTCTGGTATGTAGCTCCAGCATTTTTTAATCCGAATGGCATTACTACCCATTCATAAGTTCCTATAGCCCCAGCGCATCGACAAGCTGTTTTCGATATATCCTCTTCAGCGATAAAAATTTGGTTGTACCCTGAATATCCATCTAACAAACTTAAAATTTCATTACCTGCTGCTAAATCTACTAACATATCGGCTATTGGCATAGGGTATTCATCTTTTGGTGTAGCAGTATTTAGATTTCGAAAATCAATGCAAACTCTAAGAGATCCATTTTTCTTAATCACAGGTACTATGTTCGAGATCCAGTCAACATACCTGGCTGTACGAATAAACTTTGCTCTAAGGAGCCTTTCGATTTCTTCCTTGATTTTTGGCAAAATCTCTGACGCAAATCTCCTAGGTGGTTGCTTTATTGGCCTCTTTTCAGGTCGAATTGGGAGTCGATGTTCGACTAATTCCCTCGAAAGGCCTGGCATCTGGTCATAATCCCAGGCGAAACAATCCTTAAATTCCCTTAGTAGCTTGATTAATTGGTCTTTCACTTCTTCGTCGACCAATTTACTGATGAAAGTTAACCTCAGCTCCTTCTCATCTCCAAGGTTTACTTCTTCTAAGGGATCTTGTGCCTCCATTTTTGGCCCTTTTCGAGCTGAATCTTTCTCGAAGCTAATCGGTGCATCATCGTAGATGCAATCAAGCCGGACATCGTTGCCTTCGGTCTCTAGAACCGATTCTTCTTGAATCACACATGTTTCGAGTTCTGTGTGCCTTTGTTCGGCTAGATAAGCCGAGCATGTCGTAATGGCCGAATATGGTGAATCGGCCTCCAATCCTTCAGCCACTTTTAGTGCCGCTTCTCTTCTTTCGGCTAGATGAACCGAACTTTCGACCATGTTGATATCTGCATGGCCTTGGATTGGGTCTACGGCTTTATGGGCCGAGATTTCTTCTATTTTTTGTGATTTTATGGCCGAACTAAATTTATCGGCCTCCGAAGTATCCCCAGCTTCGAGAGCCACTTTTATTTTATTTTCGGCTACGTAAGCCGAAATTCGAGCCAAAAGGCTCTTTTCAAGGCTCTTCATTTCCATTCTTTTCGGCCTCCACTATTTCTTGGAAGCCATAAAAACCCACCGAAGGGTCTAGGCGAATCTGGTGTCGAATTTCACGAGCATTTGGCAGGAGAGGATTTCGGCCAAAATGAGGGCTGCCTATATCTTCTATACGGAGTGGCGCAATGTTGGCAAAAGATTTGTCGAATGTCTTGCTATCGAGACTGCTTACATGAACTTCAGCCTTAAAATAGCTCTGATCTCCATCGACGTATTCCAACACTCCATTGTTATTCCAAAGACATAGTTTCTGATGCAATGACGAAGGTACTGCCCCAACCCCATGAATCCATTCTCTCCCGAGCAATAGATTATAACTTGCCTTAGAAGCTACCACTACGAAGATGGTTGCTCGAGAAACAGATCCAACCCTCAAGTTGACGATTAGGGCCCCTTTGGAACTTGAAGATTTCCCTTCATAGTCCGTTAGTACCAAGTTGTGTGGGAGCAAATCCTCTTCAGATTTCCCAATCTTTTTCAGTAAAAAACTGGGCATAATATTGATAGCTGCCCCAGAATCCACGAGGACTTTGTTCACTCGAAATTTTTCATCAATTCGAGCCGCAATGTATAGCAGCTTCATATGACTCTTCATTTCACGTGTCGCCTTCTCAAAAACAGCCGACGATTTAGCAAGTGAACCGTCCTCTGCCAAATAACAATAACCCCATGGGTTATTATCGGGTTCGTCATCGGCATAGAAGTCTTCTTCATCTCCTTCACCGATTCCTTCGGCATATTCAGCAGGCAGCATGGATACAACCCCAAGTATGTCCTCGAGATCATCTTCAAAGCCTGATTCGAATACATCGGTGATCAATTCATCATTCGCATCGTACTCGATTTATGGACTCTTCATCTTCAAGTCTTTCTTCATTACTGGTGCCCTCTCTTGAGTCATTTTGACTTCGACACTAACCGGGGTACACCGCATATTTCTGGCGGCATTTCCCTGGGCTTGTTGGACTTGATTTTTAGCTCGAATTTAGGCTTGGATTCGAGCTTGAGCTTGTGCCTGGACTTGAGCTTGAGCTTGAGCCAAGGCTTGTGCTTCATGCTCAGCCTTCCTAATTCTTTGAGCCCTTCGCCACTGAGTTTTAGTCATAGGAGCCTTAAAATAGGGCTTTTTCGACTGAAAATGGCTCCCGGATGGATTCTGGAACCCAGTTTGAGTGAAAAACTTGGGTTGTGAGAAAACTTGTTGTGGCATGACCATCGAATGTGACGGTCCGCCCTTTTCGACCATCTGCAATTTTGGTCGAGTTAATGATGGGTGTAGCACGTTTCGAACCCATGTGTTGCTCGGAACGTTTTGAGCAGATACAAAGGTCCTGCTTTGAACAGTCTAGGGATCCCGTATGGTGATAGAGGCATTCTGGGTCTGGATCCCTTTGTTCTTGGTGATCACCTGGTTGGTGGTTACCTGATAGTGTTTCTTCATCTCTGATTGCTCGAAGGCTTTAGCCGCCGCTTTATCGAAAACGGCGCTGCACCTCGGACACAACATGACCTCACTGTCTGCTTCCTTCTTTCGAGTTAGAAAGTCTAGCAGCGAGTCACCTGCCTTTGGGAAGATTTCAGCTTCTTCCTTCTCGAAGGCTTCAAAGGTGTCATTCAAAGAGCCTTTTCCTTCTAACTCTTCTACAGCTCGATCGAATGACCCCTGTTGTTTAGCAACATCGACCATCAGTATGTCGATAGGTTCCACGAAATTAGCTTCTATTTGCATGGGATCAGAATCGATTTTCATCGACATTTTGGTTTTTTGCTCGAATTTTAATCATCCTTGCTTAATGGCGTCCTGAATAAGATCCCTGAAACGAACACAGTTATTAGTCCAATGACCATAAACATGATGAAACTTTTTTCGACCCTTTCTTTGTTCTACAGTAGGGATTTTATGATCATCAGATAATATAATTTGCCCATCCTTCAATAAAATGTCAAAAATATGATCAGCTTTAGATACATCAAAGGCATAACTCTTATTAGGTCGAGTTTTGTCCTTAATTTTGAGTGGTTTTAAAGACTGGCAAACATAAGGGGGTCCTAGTTTTAATTCAGCTACATTTACCTCATTTACCCCTAAATCGACATCTTCGTCGAGATCATTCTCGCTTCCTATTTCTCCTTCAGCGAGACCTATGTAAGCCACTTTGTCTTTTCGAGGAAATTTCTCTATTTTCTTAGGGACAAATTTTTCAGCCTTAAGTTGCTCGATTTGCCTCACTCTCGTCGCTAACTGTGACATGTCTCTTAACTGCTGATTAATCAATTTCTTTCTAATCGAGTACTCTAATCCGCCTATAGCCATTTGGACTAGTTCATATTCTGGAATTTGAGTAAAACATCTCGACCTCATTTGTCGAAATCTACTTAGATAATCATCAATGGATTCATGATGTATTCTTTTTATATTAACTAAATCCATTAAGCTAACTTTCGATTCACCACGAAAGAATTGTTCATGAAACCTTCTTTCTAATTGATTCCAATTATGAATTGAATTCGGGGGTAAGGTTGTGAACCAGGTAAAGGCCCCCTTAGTCAAAGAACTAGGAAAGTACTTTAACTTTAAATCTTCATTTCGAGCTAAATCTCCACATTCTATGGCGTATCTAGCTATATGTTCTACTGTAGATTCACCGGAATCTCCGGCAAATTTAGTGAATTTTGGGACTTTCCAACCCCGAGGCAGTTCAGCCTGCAAAATTGCCTCAGAGAATGCTGAGACAAAGTAGGGTCTATTAGCATACCCTACGTCGAACCCATGTTGATTCAGGACTTGTTCGACTACATTGGCAATATTTTGAGGATTCGGGTTGTTTGGATATTGAATTTGATGCCCCCCTACATTATTTTTCCTAACTTGCTCAAGTATTTCATCAGCATTCTGATTTCGAGCAATAATAAAGGGTTGATTTCCCTGGAAATCACCCTCATTTTGTCTCAAAAGATTTTGGTCGAGATTTCGACCAATTTGCTCAAATTGAGCATTTGGATTTCGAGCAAAAACTAGGGGTTGGTCTACCTAAAAATTTCCCTCATTTTGTCTCGAAAGATTTGGACCAAAATTTGGTCTATTTTGCTCGAAAATTTGACCATTTCGACCAAGATTTGTAGCATCTTGATTAGATGTTTGGGCAACATTTTGCCCTTGCCTTATAGGGACTCGAAGTGCCCCAAAAACGTCAGCAATTCGACGCATTTGTTCAGCCAAAATTTGATAGCTGGTATTAGTCGTTTCCACTATGGGATTCAACACAGTGGTCATTTGATGAGTCAGCATATTGACCATCTCGTGATTGCTTTCATCCATTTGTTGCCTCATGGAATGTAAGGCAACATTTGAAAATGAGCTAGTAGGAAGTGAATCCCCACTCAAAGCTCCAAACGCAAATTGCGTTTCAGGTACTCCACCAATCGTACCCATTCCCGGTGGAATGGTGTGACTCTAGGGTGACACGGTTGTCACCACAGGGTTGGAGTAGGTTGATACTCCAAAGATAGGAGGCATACACACGGGAGGTAAGCCAAATGGGTGATCACCCAGCCTTGGCCTTGGGCCAGGGTTTATGCTGGGATTAGTTGGCGGCGTAGTAGCCATAAATTGGCTAACTACGGGAGATGATGGTGTAGGTAACACCGTCGTTGGTGTGGGTTGTGCGGCAGTAGTAGTACTGCCGCTTACATTTTCTGGGTTGGTATCATTACCATCACTTCTGGAATTGCCATTCCCAGAACTAGAATCACTATTTCTTCCTCTATTAGCCATAATACAACGTCCGTTACGTAATATCATGCAACAAAGCAATCAATCATTCAAAACACACAATATGGTCCCACCAGGCGTGCCAATTTGTTTACGGTGAAAAATAACAGTTGTAAACAAATAATCCAAAGATCAATCTGGGGACTGGATTTAGGTCCTCTTTGGGTTCATTTAAGTGTGTTGTTAACATGATGCTCAAATTAACGGCGTAAAAGAGTATTAAGCAAGAATAGTAAATAATAAATGTGCAGAATTAAATCAAACGTAGATGCTTTTACAAAAATGTAACAAACAGGAAGCCAAGAGTGTACAAAGATACAAGCAACAAGTACTGAAATTAAAATGCAGAAAGGGAAATGTGGGAATATAAAGGTGCTGGAATGTAAATATGCTGAAATATAAACGTACGACTCCTCACAATGGCGAACAGCGGCCACCGTAGGTCTCCTTGTAGCTGGTGTCTGGCGCGGTGCAGGGTTTCAGCGTCTCAGAGTGTTTAGGTGCGGTGTCTGGGTGCAAAAAGTCGTCCCCTGTGAAATAATGCTTTGTAGTATTTATAGACATGAAGATCACCACCGTTTTCCTCCTTTTGCGGACACTTCTTAGTAACTGCCTTCAACTGTTGATGCTCACTATCCACGATTGCTTGTGATCGTGCTGTTTGTTGGGGCTGTAACCGCTATCGCCCATGATCTCCTTTGCGTAGTGGTGAATGTTGATAACTACTGGTAACCGCTTTTGGATTTTTCAATACTCCTATCTTTCGAGTATTTCTGAGAGAAACCTAGGAAACTCTTTTAATGTTATGGCCTTGGAATAGTTTCTTCTTGACTTCTCTTTTCGAGCCATTCTGGAGTTTTGAGAGTCTGTCTTGGTCTTGTGGACTTAGAACATTTTCTTTGCTCATTTCTGTTTTTCGAGCAATTCTGGAGGAAATCTGGAGTTCAGCCAAGTTTGTGGACTTAGAATATTTTCTTACCACTTCCTGCTTTTCGAGCAGTTTTGGGTGTCAGGTACTTGGAAACTCATCAAATATTCCTCGAAAAGCCATTAGTTTTTTGTGGACTTAGAATATTTTCCTGTTAGTCCTGTTTTTCGAGCAGTTTTGGGTGTCAGGGACTTAAGAACTCCTCAAAACTCCTCGAAAAACCATCAGTTTTGTGGACTTGGAATATTTTCTTGCCAGTTCTATTTTTTGAGTAGTTTTTGGTGTCAGTGACTTAAAAACTCCTCAAAACTTCTCAAAAAAAGCCTTTAGTTTTGTAGTCTTAGAATATTTTCTTGTCTTTCAAGCAGTTTAGAGAAAAATCAACAATGTGACAAAAATCTCTAAAAATAGCTCGAAATGTGTTCCTTTTAATTAAAACCAAAGATCTTCCAATATTCTCTTATGTTCAGGTTTATCTTTGGCTCCTTCTTGACCCTCAAAACTTGTTGAAATGTAGTTTCCTTCAAGATGATTTTTAACTTAGAAAATTTTCCTTATCCCAAACAAATATGTTGAGTTTGTATTTCCTTATATTACGAAGTGATATACTTCTAGTTTTATTGTATTTTTTATATTTACATTTGATTTAATTTACTCACATTTAATATTTTTAATTTTTGAATTCAGTTTCTCATATCAAAATCTAACCCAATAATTATTCTCTTTAAATTATCTTATTTATAATTCTACTTAAAGTTAAAGTTATCAATGCAATGTGTGAGAGTCAATCGGTAATTGAATGATAAGATATTGATTTGTGATTTATTAATTTAACTTTGGTTTAACTATAACTGAATTTGTAACAATTAAATACAAATTATAAAAAAATGTATTGTGTAAATAATAAAAATATGTCAAATTGTGATATTTAAATATATTCTGAATATAAATTTTACATTAATTATTGTAGGATATCTTTGTGTTATCTATATATTTTAATTAAATATTTAAATTGTAAATTACCATTGAATTTCATATCATATATTTATAGGATACAAATAATATGAATTTAATAGCAAAATAATAATAATAATAATTTAATATAAACTAGTTTAGTAGCTTGTGTAATGTGTAAGTATTTATTTTAGAATATATATATATATATATATATATATATAGTTTTATATTAAAAAAGTAATATTTATATTCTTATAAGTAAATTTATATAATAAATTATTTTAAATAATAATTCTTAAAAATTATTTTAGTTTAACTTTATAACTATGAATTATATGTATCAAAATATTAAAGACTAAATAAAATTAAATAATTTTAAAATAATATTTATTTTAAAATAATATTTTTTATTGTAAGTCTATTTTTTTTACTGAATATCAATAATTAATATATATTAATCCATCAATTTAGGAGATAATATTTTTAAAATAAAATTCAGACTAAAAAAGTAATAATTTAGACTAAGACCGAATTAGTCCATGAATGGATTCTAGTTCGATTAAATGTTTCATTTTAGAGTTGTTCACGAATTAATCTAATTTAATGCATACAGTAAACATAAATTGAAAACTAAAAACTGAATTAATAACAGTAAACAAATATAACATGTAAGAATTGAATTTCTGTATTAAAATAGATCAAATTTTAAATTTCATTTTAAAAAATAATCCGATCCAATTAAAACTAATGTTATGTTTTTCTATATAATATTTTTTATTCATATATATATATATATATATATATATATGAATTTCTATATATATGTAAGAGTGGGATGCTTTATTATTAAAATTTTACTCTAAAATTTAAATATTATTTTTTAAAAAAATACATCTTATTATTTTACTATATTTATAAGTTTATTGGTTTCATCTTTATATAAAATTATTCCCTTGGCTCATTTCTTCGAAAAAATATATTTTATGTATTATATACAAAATAAATTTTAATTAAAAATAATATAAGATATAATAAAATAAATTAAAAATTTAAATATAAAATTTAAATATTCCAATATAAACCATTTTTAATTAAATCAAATTAAGTTTAAAATTTTACTCAAACTAATTTATATAAATTTATAATGCATTATATCCACCTTTACTTCATCTTCATTACCCACTTATGCTTTATCATAACCGCGTAAATGGTACAGGATACATACATGGTCTAAAATCAATAAAATTTATCATAACTATTTTATCTTTTAAAATTATGACATTTTGATAATTCTTAATAACATTGAAAAAATCTAAATATAGGAAGAATTAATTTCACTTATATTATAAATTTATAACAATATATTTTTTGTAATTTTTAATGCCTTGTAACATAATTTTTAATAAAAAATAACAATAATATAATCTCTTACTTACTCTTTCAAATGAACTCTATATATAGAAAATATAAAAATACTTGTTATCGTTATTACGAATAGCATGAAAATATTCCCACACTTTTCCGATGAAAATGGGTTTAATGCACCAATAACTCACCATATTCCGAGGACTACCCCAATCTGATACCGTGAAATGTTTATTTCATCAAATTTAATATTAATTTTAGTTATTATTATTTTTTATATAAAAAATTTATTTATTTCAATGTTGAAGTAGTAATATTAACATCAGTGCAAAAAATCATTATCTGAGCTGCCCCACTTTCACATTGCAATAAAAGTAGGATAATCTTCAACTCTCTGTCACTTTTCTTCTCTCTTCTCTCTTCTCTCTTCTCTCTCCCCCCACCTTTTTTTGCTTCTTCTTCTTCCATCCTTCTCTGCTCAAAGACTCAGCATAACCTTACTCCTCCTCCTTCTTCTTTTGTTGACTTGTGGCCACCACAGAGGGAGACCCGTTTCTGGATCTTCTGGTATGCTTCTATCCTTTTTTTTTTTTGCTTACCCTTTTCACTGTTCAGCTTCTTCTTGCTATCTGCTTGGTCCATCAGATTCATGGGCTTGTTTTATGGATTGGGTTGGTGCTGATTTCATTACACTTTTGATCTCTGACGGTGAAGTTTCTGTTTTTACTGTAGATGTTGAAAATTTTCTCTGTTTTTTTAGCTTGTTGATGTTGTGGGGGTAATTAGCTTGTTAATTGCCCTCATTTCATGACAAGGTTAATGGGAGAGTCTTTTCTAATTCCTCATTATTGTCTGTGCTTGTGTTGCTTTTGCTTCCATGTTTGATTTGTTGGTGAATTGGATCTGCGGAGTCAGATAATCCTGATCTATTAATTTTCATATATAAGTTGGAAATTCAATCCTTTTAATTAAATATTTTTCAATTTTCTTTTTTGTTGATTAGCTAATTTGAGATTTTTTATATTCAAGTTATTGGCCTATATTCATGTTTTATATTGATGCTTTTAGCCTTTTGAAACTTTGTGGCTGGTAGATAAATCTTTCATGATATATGCGCATATTTTATGATCTAGAGAATCTCTTCATTTAGAAAGCATTTTTTTTTTTTTTGTACCATGTTCATTGTTCTTTGTTTTATTGCTGTTGACAGGTGTAGAGGCCTTTCAAAATTAAGAATTTGTTAACATCAATTGGTGTATAGTGCTAGGGGGTTAAGTTTGAAGCCTTGCTTTCAACTTTTGTCATTGGAAGCTTATAGGTTGGATCCATATTTTCCTGGATATTTAGGCTATCTTTGTGTCTAATTTTCCCTGTGAAATGATGATGATGTTTGATGAGGTGGGGCTTTGTGGTGATTTGGATATGTTGTCTGCTCCTCTTGGAGAAGGGGATATAACCGCCCGGCAAACTGAGCCAGAGGCGATAGTTGAGGATGATTATAGTGATGAAGAAATTGATGAAGATGAGCTTGAGAGGAGGGTGTGGAGGTATAAAATGCGTCTCAAGCGATTGAAGGAACAAAGTAAATCTAAGGAAGGAATTGATGCAGTGAAGCAGAGACAGTCCCAAGAACAGGCAAGGAGGAAAAAGATGTCAAGGGCTCAAGATGGAATCTTGAAGTATATGCTGAAGATGATGGAGGTTTGCAAGGCCCAGGGATTCGTTTATGGGATCATTCCTGAGAAGGGAAAGCCTGTGACTGGGGCATCTGATAACCTTCGTGAATGGTGGAAGGATAAAGTCAGGTTTGATCGAAATGGTCCAGCTGCTATAGCCAAGTATCAAGCTGATAATGCAATCCCGGGGAAGAATGATGGATGTAATTCCATCGGTCCAACACCACACACCTTGCAAGAGCTGCAGGACACAACCTTGGGTTCTCTCTTATCAGCACTCATGCAGCACTGTGATCCTCCGCAAAGGCGGTTTCCATTGGAGAGGGGCGCTCCTCCACCGTGGTGGCCCACAGGGAATGAAGACTGGTGGCCCCAAATTGGTTTACCTAAAGATCAAAGTCCTCCACCTTACAAGAAACCTCATGACCTGAAGAAGGCATGGAAAGTTGGTGTTCTTACTGCAGTAATCAAGCACATGTCTCCTGACATTGCCAAAATTCGCAAGCTTGTGAGGCAGTCCAAATGCCTTCAAGATAAAATGACAGCCAAGGAAAGTGCAACCTGGTTGGCAATCATCAATCAAGAGGAGGGCTTTGCACGTGAGCTTTACCCTGACTATACCCCTCCATTAGCCTCTGTGGGAGGTAGTGGATCTTTGGTCATCAATGATTGCAATGAGTATGATGTTGAAGGTGGTGAGGATGAGCCAAACTTTGATGTGGAAGACCGGAAACCAGAGAATCTTCATGCATCCAATATTGGGATGGAAAGAATCAAGGGAAGCCTGCCAGTTCAGCAGCCTTCTTTCCCAATCAAGGGCGAGGCCGGAGCAAATTTGGATTTCATGCGGAAGAGAAAGATCTCTGGTGACTTCAACATGATGATGGATCAGAAGAATTATACTTGTGAACACCCTCAGTGCCCTTACAGTGATGTTCGCCTTGGTTTCCCTGACAGAATTTCTAGGGACAATCATCAATTGAATTGTCCATATAGAGGTACTTCAGATTATGGTGGACCAAATTTTCATGTTAATGAGGTAAAGCCAGTCATATTCCCACAATCCTTTGTTCAACCCAAATCCACTGCTCAGTCTATTAACTTGGTTCCACCTTCATTTGATCTAACCGGACTTGAAGTTCCAGAAGATGACCAGAAAATGATTGGTGACCTTATGACTGTCTATGATACAAATGTTCAAGGCAACACGAACGTAAGTTCCAGTAATCGTGCAGCTGCAGAAAATCCGAACCTTCCTCAGCCAGGCATTCAGCAGCAACAGGACAACTTCTTTCGCAGTCAAGGATTTACTATGGAAGGAAACTTCTTTCAAGAAGCCAATATGTCCAGTAATCATCACATTTTTGCTAGAGAGGAGGGTCAATTTGACCAATTCAAATCCCTAAATGCTCCCTTTGATACCAATCACAACAACAATAACTTCCAATTAATGTTTGGATCCCCTTGTGATTTGGCATCCTTCGATTTTAAGGATATGCAGGGAGTAGGGATGGATGGTCTTCAGAAACAACCAGATATTTCAATATGGTACCAGTGAAAACAAGTGGAATATGGAGACTCAATCAATCTACTATGTACTCTTTTTATTTTCCTTCATAAAGAAGGCACCCCTGATCATGTGAAGCTCCTGTAGCCAAAATGTTTTACTGCAATTTTCTTCACATGTAATTCTGTAGGCTTAGAACTAGATATTTTTATGTTTATGCTTGGCAGGTCTAGTATGTGTTATAATAAAAACTTACATATTCCCATTATGTAGCCCTGTGATTGTGTTTTGATCAGTGCAGCCTTCTTGTTACTTAAGATTATTCTATGCAGCTGTGATATAAATAAAGACTGCTCCTTTGATACACTGCATATTTAAGTGTTTATTTCATAAGTTTTTTTGTAAATAATAACTTATATAGTAAATTTCTTATAAGATAAAATTACTTACTTCAATAAACAATAACAAAAAGCTTATTGAAATAATTTTAAAAAACTGACAAAACTTATATAAATTGTTCATAAATTTTTTCATAATGGACCGCATGGTATGGTCAAGGTTCTACAAAGTTTAGCTTCATCCTATTATCTAGCATTTATAATGTTTGGCCTAGTTAGGGGGTTAAATTGTTGGCTATGTGAAGTGTTTGTCTTTAGTTACATCTTTATGTTATGCTTATCCTTTCCCATGTGAAATGGACCCCAGAACAGTTGTTTGGCTGATTCCAACTTGAATTCCTTTTGGATTGCGTGCTGAGTTTGTGTGTGGGGTCCCATTTTGGAAGGGCACATTATTCACATCTTTTGTTTGTGTCACTGGCCAATAAATCAACTAAGGGGTTTTCATTGTTCATAACCATTGAAAGTGGCTATTCATGGGACAGTGAAAGTGCTATCTCATTACTGGCCAAGGCGGCTGAACATAATACACACAGTGCTTTTCATTTGATTGACTTGTTTACCCTTTTCATTTGTTAAATTTTCATGCCATGTTTGGTTCTCAACACACTCTTTTCTTTGGTATTTGAGGCACTTGCTGGTTCAAAAATGGAAATTAGCATTCTGAATGGCACCAGAGTCATATAGTTCAGTGAATCAGCTTTATTTTCTGAAAATGTGCTGTGCATAATAATAGCACGTGTTGAAAAAAAATGGCAAAGGGTAAGAAAGAGACCCGGTCTTCACTCATTATCCTTGTTTGGAAGGAAAGGAAAATTCGATATCCATGGCCAAAAATGGAATAACCTCCCAAGCCCAGAAGAAAAAAGAGCTGTTATATGATGTCTAAATATATAATTTCATTTTTGAAAGGGATATTTTATTTATTTTTTACTTTTAAATTTTTTTATATCTACTGTTTAACTTTAAATGTATTAAGTTATTTATATTTTTGTTTATTTACATGAAAATATAATATGAACAGTAAATATATAATTCAATTCTTGAAAGGGATATTTTATTTATCTTTGAATTTTAAAACTTTTAGTTTCTACTGTATAATCTTTGAATGAGTTAACTTATTCATATTTTTGTTTATTTACATAAATATAAGTAAAATAGGAGCAAAGTATAAACAAGTTGACTTACTTACAATTTTGGTTCTTATATTTTAACATGCGTGCGATTTTGTTGTTCTTATTTTTATTTTGTCATTTTGATTTTTTAAATACTCAAAATAAGTCATTTACTCTAAAATTAATATTTTTATTATATTTTTTATTTTATATTTTTACTTAAACATTTATATGTGTTTTCTTTGTATAAAAAAATATTATATGAATAGTAAATATATAATTTCATTCTCGAAAGGAATATTTTATATATCTTTGACTTTTATAACTTTAGGTTTCTACTGTTTAAGCTTTGAATGTGTAACTTGTTCATATTTTTGTTTATTTACATAAATATAAGTAAATAAGAGCAGAGTATAAATAAATTGGTTTAATGATAATTCGGTTTTTATATTTTAACATATGTACGATTCTGGTCATTTTAGTTTAAATTGTTCACATTTATTTATATAAATAAATAAAGAAAAATTTTAAGATTTAACCTAAATTAATACTTTGAAAAATTAAACTATACAAAATTTTGAAGGATTAAAGTAGATAAACAAAATAACATTTTTAGGAATTAATTTATGAATTTTTTAAATCATGTTTATTTTTTTAATAGAAAATCATCTTGTTCAAATTAAATTTTTATCTATAACATGATATACAGATGAACTCTTCTAGTAAAAGAAAGAAAATCCAAATCATCTGGATAGAGCAATTCTTGTAATAATACACCATTTCATATGAAATAGCCTATTTTATTAGAAAAATAATATTCTCATTGTTAGTAATTTGTATTATTTGTTCATTGTTAATATTATTGGTTTTTTCATATATAAAAAAGATAACTTAGGTGATGCAAATTGTAATGATAATTGCATCTAGCGGGGTGTCACTTCAGATACAATATGGAACTTATAGTGACCAGATGATTTGTTTCATAGCACTTTATAAAAGGTTGGGTTGCAGTTATGCTGTTTGTTCATTGTGGGTGGGTTGGATCATGGATGGTTGCCTTTGTGTGTTTTTTTATTTATGCTCTGTCGTTTGTGTATTAAGTAATAATATTTATGATAATTATTCTTTTAAAGTTTTAAATTATTTAGTGTAACCCCATTTTTTCTCTCTTTTCATTATAATTATTGAACTTTACACAAATAATTTATACTTAAATTGAAGATTGGATGGATGAAAACTAACATTTGTATTATAAAAGCTAATTAAATTTTAAACATATTGCATGTTTGATTCAGCCTATTTTTAAAGAATCACTTATTTTTCTCAACTCTTTGAAAAAATGGTAAAAAAATTTATAAAAATAATTTGTTTCCCAAACAAGCACCTAATCTTAATTTCGATAAAGCTACTCATAAGATAATAATAGAAGTGAACTATGACCAAAATAACCTTACCTACAATGTTGGAATTCAAGCCCTAAAGTCCTCATTTTGAAAATAAATTTACTTGGGAGAGTCATTTTTGAGAGAAATTTATTTAACCATTTTACCCTTTATTTGATTATATTAAGTTATAATATACAAATGGTCAAAGACCAAAAATTTGATAGAGGTGCACCAAGGACAGTTTCTTGCACTCAACCTTGAAGGGCATTGAGGACCACCCTTTTGTTCCTACTGTTATTGTAAAGGACAATGTGTTTTATGGTCATGAGTCCTACACCAGTGCTTCAAGTAGTAGTTCTGACAAAAGAACATGCAGGTTCTTGTAAGCTGCTTCTAAGCATCTGTAAGTGCAAGCACCTGGACACTCTTACAACATATTATATCAAATCCACAAGAAACAAACACCATCAGTTAGTTCACAAACATGTATGAAGATATATGTTAAACAAATTGAAAGTACATATGAATAAAACTTTAGTTTAAACAATAAATAAATAAATAGTTAAGTATAGAGTGACACCTTTGAGTTTCTTCTTGGAGGGATTTCTTATTAATTCCAAATAGCTAGGAGATTATAAAAAGTGGCAATCATTCACTTTAGACTTGTTAGGTCTCAATAATTTTGAGAAATGGTTGACTTTGTTGTACATTTCTTTGTATTAATTAGCAGTAAAACTGAAATGCCCTCGTTGACTTCACATCATAAATTAAATGGTTTTATTCATCTCAATCTTAAAGATTGATTTTAAGTATATATATAAGTTTTTTTTATTAAAATAATAATATTTTTAAGTGTTATCTACTACCTTAAAGAGTTGAAGTTAACATTTTTAAATTAATTTGTTCTAATTTGTACATAAGGATTTGATGTAGTGCGGCACACCAAGAAAACTGAATCAGGATCCCTAGGTCTTTGCTTTTGTCTGTGTTACTTTGTCTTGAATATAAAGGAAGAGAGCAAAATAGTTGGCCATATGATTTTCTTCTTGGTGTGCCTGCATTAGCCCATAAAATCAGAAATATAAGTGAAGGTTAGATATCTTTATTTTTGGAAAACAAGTGGAAAGCGCCAGAGTTTCTTCCTATGAAGTTGACTTTACTTATATATATATATATATATATATATATATAAAACACTCTCACACTTACATAAATTTAAAAAAAATTATATTTAATATAAAATTTTTATTTAATTTATATTTAACGAATTATAAATTATTATTTCACTAACTATTAAATATAAACTAAATAAAAGACGCAGATTTAATGTATGAATTTTTAGATTTATATTAACTTAAGAAGATTTTTTCTCTATATATATATTAAATTTAAATTTAAATTAAATGTTGAACTTGATAATTTACATGATAAATAGTAAATTATCCCTTGTCGACATATTTCATTAAAATAAAATTTTAATTAAAAATAATTTTTACAATTCTCAGAATAATGCATATAAGTTTTATCCTTAACGTATGATAAAGATTTTGAAGTTTAATCTTTATTAAATAAAAACAAAGAAAATTAAATCTACAAAGCAAGCTTTCATTGATAATATTTTATCACATTGTTTCAACAAGGGCATACTTTAACAAATAAGACTACGAGACATTTTAAGAAGTGTATTTAAACTTATGTAATTTATTAAAATTTTATTATTAAATTTATAATATAAATGTTTATATAACAAAAAATTATCAAATAAATACTTAATTAAATTATTTATCCAAATATTTTCGCTGTTCATCTACCCCTTTAGTCCCTACACTCGATTCATCATAAGTTGAAGGGGCCATTCGTCATCTGCTGTTCTGCAAAATTGAGAACAACTTTCTCCATCAGCGTTTGGAAAATTATAATTTTCCTTTTAAATATTTTGAGTATAATGTCTAACACTAATTTTAATTTCCCTTCATCATCAAAACTATCTCCTTTCCAAAAAAGAAAAATAATTAGAAAGAATATTCAACAATGTATTAAAAGATGAGATATAGTGTTTCCAAAAGCGTGAAATGTCAAATTTCCGAAGTGACTACTCTGTGACAGTGATTGTTTCCAACATTAATTATAAAGATTGGCCTCTATATGGCTTCATAAGATATATATGACCCACCAAACCCTTTTGCCCAACATAAAAAGGTGGTTTCTTTTTTTGTGTAAATGAAAAGGTGGTTTAGTTTTACAGTATTTTTATAGTCAAAAGAAAGCCGTATAAGAAAGCTTTTTGGATATCAATAAAAAAATTTATACTAATAGAAATATTTATTATACTTATATACTTTTAATTTTTATTGATTTTAGTCAATGTAGAGTTTTT